AGTTGCACCATCTGAGTCCAGTAGAGGGGAACTCCCTGAGGGCTGAGGTCCATACAAGGATCTAAGGGCTTCGTAGAACCGTTTGGCATCGTTTCTATCAGAAAACTTCTGGATTTCATCTGCTTTGGCACTCAACCAGGAGTCCTGCATCTTACGAAGCTTGTTCTGTACGATCCTGCGAATGTTGTTGAAGGCATTTTTCTTAGCTGTTGACGATGGGTCATTCTGGTGAGCACGGTGAAGGCGATGCTTTTCAGCAAGTATGGCCTTGATCTCTTCATCGTTTTCATCAAACCAGTCCTGCTGTTTCCTGTGTGAGGGTCCAAGAACCTTTAGTGCAGAAGAGTGCACAATATCCCGGAAGCGTTCCCAGTCCTTCTCAGCATTTTCCTCTAATTGCAGCTCTAAAAGTTGGTTGCCAAGATCTTCTGCTAGTAAAGTTGCTGTGTTGGGGTTCCTCAGTCTACTGACATTGATCTTTTTCATCACAGCTTTGTTTCCCTGCGGACGTCTCTTTGGCTTGATGCGAAAGCTTAATTTGGAGATGATAAGTCTGTGGTCAGTCCAACAGTCAGCACTCGGCATGGCCTTGGTCACCCTTACATCCTGTCTGTCTTTCCTCCGCACAATGACATAATCAATGAGATGCCAGTGCTTAGAGCGTGGGTGCATCCAGGACGTCTTTTTGCGAGTGGGCAGGCGGAAGATGGTATTGGTGATGATCAAATCATGAGCCGCACATGTCTTCAGTAATAGTAGGCCATTGCTGTTACATTTACCGATTCCATTTTTTCCAATGACGCCATCCCAGGCAGTGTGATCAGATCCTACTCTCGCGTTGAAATCGCCAAGTAGAATCAGCCTGTCAGTGCGCTTCACGGATGAGAGTAGGGCATCGAGATCTTCATAAAACTTGTCCTTTACTTCATCCGGATTCGTCATTGTGGGCGCGTAAGCGCTGATCAGTGTGGCTTGCTTTCCTCTCGGTAGTGGAAGATGCAGTGTCATGAGTCGGTCATTCACGCCCTTGGGAAGACTGGCAAGTTTGCGGACAAGATGATTCTTAACCGCAAAGCCAACTCCAGATTCACGACGTTCGTCACTGCTGCGTCCACGCCAGAAGAATGTGTAACCACCTCCTGTTTCCATGAGCTGACCTTCATTTGCTAGACGAGTTTCACACAGTGCCGCAATATCGATGTTAAATCTTGTGAGCTCTCTGGCGACCAGGGCTGTTCTTCTTTCTGGGCGGTCTGCTGAAGGGTTGTCCTGAAGCGTGCGTACATTCCATGTGCCAATAGTGAGTGGTGTCACCTTGCATTTTGTTCGAAATTTTATTGTTCGACCGCATGAGATGGGATCCCCTCCAGCCGCGGTAAGCTGGCCAGGGTTCTGTGAAGCAAACAATGTTTAGGGCACCTTTTCTAGCCCCTTCCTCTTACTACGGAGGTGAGCAGTGCAATCCTAAAGAGGGCTGCTCAGTCACTCAGGTAGACGCCGAATCCAGCTGTTGCTTCCACCAGCAAGAAGACGACCATTAGACCTGAGCCGCCTGTGTGCAGGTCCGCGGCTACAGCTCCCAGTGTATCCACACCTGCTGCTTCGTCGCTCGCCCGTCGCCACAGGACTTAGGAGATGTCGAGATGTCAAGACTTGCGCGTGAATTGGATTAAAGTGAGGGAGAGGTGCGCATAGTCAGCCTCACTCTCTCTTCCCAGATTCCATCTTACTCCAATGGCAGGACTAAAGTCGAGACGGTTGGAGATGGGCTGGGCGCAGTGGTTGACCAGGGCATCTTTCATGTCTTGCCGTGCTCTTAGCGTACCACATCGCTTGCAGAAACCACCTTCATGACCGTTGGTCCTATTCTAGTAGGTCTCATCCGCTCGATCCGCCGGAGTCTGTCTTCACATGCTCGGGATAGACAAGTCCCTATCTCACCGAAGGTCGATGACCCGACGGCTACTCTCAACCTGGTTTAGCCAGCCTGTCGAAGCTGTTGCCCGGGGTGTGGCCGCTGCACATGCTACAGCTACTAGGAGCCACAGGTGAGAGTTGAGTGACAAGTGGGGACCAAAGGTGGACGAGCTGCCCTAAAAGGACACGACATGCCCGTACATCAGAGGTGCTACCCCTCCCTGAACACCCCATACACCCCATCTGGAGAAAATAATAAACAATGAAATGGCAAAATTTGTAGATGATACTAAACTGCTCGAGATAGTTAAGAACAAAGCAGCTTCAAAAGAATGTCACAAAAGTAGGTGATTACGCAACAAAATAGCAAATGAATTTTAATGGTAAGTGCAAAGTAGTGCACATTGGAAAAAATAATCCCAACTACACATACAAAATGATGGGGACTAATTTGGCTATAACTACTCAAGAGAGAGATCTTGGAACATAAGAACATAAGAATGGCTGTACTGGATCAGACCAAAGGTCCATCTAGCCCAGTAGCCTATCTGCTGAAAGTGGCTAGCGCCAAGTGCCCCAGAGTGAGGTGGACTGAAGACAATGATCAAGCAATTTGTCTCGTGCCATCCATCTCCAGCCTCTGATGCCAAGGACACCATTCCTACCCCTCCCCCCGGCTAATAGCCTTTTATGAACCTAACCTCCATGAATTTATCTAGATTCTCTTTAAACTCTGTTATAGTTCTAGCCTTCACAGCCTCCTGTATTAGATTCCTTTGTATGTGGTTGTTTGTCTGCTCTGGCCCCTTGTTTGTCCTCTCCCCTCCTCTCTTTCTGACTACAGCCTAGAGAATCTCTATCAATGGATTCTCCTCTAAGAGAAATCTCCATATGATGTACATGCTTCTCCGCACCAATCGGCTTTCCTCCATTTCCTAGTTTAAAAACTGCTCTATGGCCTTTTTAATGTCCAGTGCCACCAGTCTGGTTCCACCCTGGTTTAGGTGGAGCCCATCCTTCCTGAATAGGCTCCCCCTCTCCCAAAAGTGTCCCCAGTTCCTAATAAATCTAAACCCCTCCTCCCTACACCATCGTCTCATCCACGCATTGAGACTCTGAAGCTCTGCCTGCCTACCTAGCCCTGCGCGTGGAACTGGAAGCATTTCTGAGAATGCTACCATAGAGGTCCTGGATTTCAGTCTCTTTCCTAGCAACCTAAATTTGGCCTCCAGGACGTCTCTCCTACATAGCAGTAGTTGTGTTGGTGGAAAAAGCTCTCCCACCAATATAAGTGCCAGTGTAGACAATGCTAACTTGGCGTATATTATGTTGCTCGGGGGGTGGGATGGCTAATTTACACCCCTAAATATGTAATTTATGTTGACTTAAGATATAGAGTAGCCATAACCTAAATCCTTCAAAATGTCTTTTTACATGTAAACTTATTTTTATGAATATTTTCTTAGAATATCTTGGAGCACTTAAAAAACATTTTTGCTAAAAATGCTGTAGATTCTTTCATAAACATTGCACAAATTGAACAACAGCAGTAAAACATGCTTTCAAAGTGTTTACCCATAACAGTATACATTTTTATTCTCATGGCATACTAAGGAAAGTATAAATTGCTATAGAACCAGAAAAGTCTTATGAATGAGTAAAACAGATGTTACCGTAGCATGAAACAGTTGTAAAAAACTCCCTAGAATTTGTGTCATAAAATATAAATAGCATTTGGTTGAAGACAGCTGGTTCCAGGATTACATATTTATCATGTTTGAATGTATTTTTGTTAATTAGATCCCCTCTGTGATTACTTCTCCCCACCCCCCATAAATTCCAAGTGTTAACAATTACTTCTACTTAAATACTTTTTAATAATCTTTTGCTTCTGTTTTCAGAAAACTTTTTAGTAGTGGTAAATTCAAAACTACTGAAGCTATCCCATTCTACGATCTGGTTCAACTCTTCATTTTGCCTAGAATGATATTTCATACTAAATGACACAAAGTCAATGTAGTCCACTGACAAAATGTTTTAGTATACTGTAATGCAACTGGAAAGTTTCAGTGTGGACTAAGATGATTCAAATGTATTTTTATTTTTCAGCTTGTCTCATCTTATAGGGGTTTATTTTTGTCTAGTTAACTTCAGTAAAATGTGTTTTTGAAACAAGATTTAACATTGGGGAAAAAAGAATTTGTGTCTAGTTTTATGTTAGCATGGAGCAACCATTAATTCTGGTCCAACATTAAGAGATGAAAAAATCAGCATGACTGTGAAAGGAGACACAAGTCTTAGGGTGCTATACAATATTGCATTAACAAGAATAGCAACCGTAAAAGCAAGGCTACTCAGTTATTTTAGCAATGTGCTTTTGTACAGGAAGATAAATTAATAGGATTCAGTTTGGGAATCTTATTAGGATTATTTCATGTCGAGATTGCCATATGTAGAGTAAACAGTCATTAGGCTCTCAAATCTAGAGAGAAACCATTTCCAGTTTTGTAAACTATATCAAAGTTAAAAACACCACAGTAAAAACTTCATTTATGCACTAGAGGTAACTATTACTTGTAAGATAAAATAAACTAAATGATTTCACTTCATGATGTTTTGTTTTCTATATTTTAATTTGTCGGAGTTTGCTCATCCAAGACTCTAAGGCTACGTCTAACCTACACCCCTCTGTTAGCAGAGGGATGTAAATTAGACGTTTCGAAAGTGCAAATAAAGCAGGGATTTAAATATCCAGTGCTTCATTTACATAATCATGTTCTGGCGCTGTTTCAAACAAGCACCATTTCGAAACTGAAACCGCAGTTTAGACACGGTTTTTTCGACAACAGGGCTATTTTTGTACTCTTCGCGAGTACAATGGCCCATTTTTACAGTTCTAAGTCTTGGGTAATTTTTTTCATGTTGACTTTGATGGGTAAAAATTTAGAAAGGGGAATAGGACTTCACAGGATTAGGTCCAGACTTTTCTGAAGCAAGTCATGTTCACCCAGTACTAATATGAAAATACTAAGCTTTGGTGTGTGATTGTATCATAAATAGCAGGGCTTCTAATTTATTTGCAGGAAGTAGAACGGGAAATTTCATTCAGGACAGAATGTGGATTATATTACTCCTACTACAAAGAGATGCTGCAGGCTACATCCATCCAACAAGGTATTTTTAACCTGTAAAGTAAATTTTATTTTGCTGATGAGATGCTGTTTTTAATAAAGTAAAAAGTGAACATACTGTTTATGAAAGGTGCTGTAGTAATCATGCTAGAGACAAATTTGTTGTATTCGTCCACAAAGCAGAAATAGTTTCGATAATGGAAACATGAGCTCTACAATAGTACATCAGTTCTCTCATGTACTACCCCAGGTCTATGGCTACACTGTAGCCTTCTTGTGGAAAAGCATATGCAAATAAAGCGCAGCATGGAATATGGCCACACTTAATTTGCATAAGTAATGAGCAGCCATTTTTGCGCAAAAAACCCCTCTTGCTTAAGAGCCGTTCTTCCTCATTTTTTGAGGAAGAACGGCTCTTGCGCACGAGGGTTTTTTTGCGCAAAAAGGAGTTGTCTACACTGCTCGTTTTTGCGCAAAAGCTTCTTGTGCAAAAACAGTTGCTCATTACTTATGCAAATGAAGTGCGACGATATTCCACGCTGTGCTTCATTTGCATATGCTTTTCTGCAAAAAGGCTACAGTGTAGCCATAGCCCTCGAGAAAGTAAGATCACTCGTAAGGATGATAATTTCCATTCTTGCTCAATGTTTTACATCATTGATTTACTTAAGAGTGGCTAAGCATCTGATATGCTGTAACTTCTTACTGCAGCAATTATAATAGTCTCTGTACTACACTGTCTTTACCCTGCCCCTTCTTTTGTTTTGTATCTGTGTTATGTCATATGTAGATTCGTGGAAGGTACAATTTTTTGCTATATATTTGTACAGTGCCTAACACAATGGGACTCTGATGCGTGTTTGAGACCTCTAGATATTATTGCAAAACAGATAAATAATATCTACTATAATGCCTTTTGGGGCTATTTGTGATTTTCTCTTCAAGACACTGTACTGAGATTCCCAATTCATTTTCCTTATGCTGCCTAATAGCTAGTATGGTTGATCAACGCCAGTGTCAGCTGGCTTTAAAGAGGTGACTTAAGAGTGAATGACTCATGATCCCAATATTAATGCTACAAGTCTAGAGCCCCAAACATAATTTGTTGCAGTTTCCACAGCATTACAGAATGAGAAGAAACCTCAGGAAGTCATGGCGGGATCAATCACCATCTAGAGACCATCCTGACAGGTGTTTGTCTAATCTGCTCTTAAAAATCTCCAATGATGAAGATTCCACAATCTCCGTAGGCAATTTATTCCAGGGCTTAATCACCCTGGGTATGTCTACACTACAAAGTTAGTTCGAACTAACAGACGTTAGTTCGAACTAACTTTCATAGGCGCTACACTAGCGCTACACTACACACCCCTTAATTCGAACTAACGGAGCGCTTAGTCCGAACTAGGTAATCCTCATTCCACAAGGATTAAGCCTAGTTCGAACTAGCTAGTTCGAACTAGGCTTAATCCTTGTGGAATGAGGATTACCTAGTTCGAACTAAGCGCTCCGTTAGTTCGAATTAAGGGGTGTGTAGTGTAGCGCTAGTGTAGCGCCTATGAAAGTTAGTTCGAACTAACGTCTGTTAGTTCGAACTAACTTTCATAGGCGCTACACTAGCGCTACACTACACACCCCTTAATTCGAACTAGCTAGTTCGAACTAGGCTTAATCCTTGTGGAATGAGGATTACCTAGTTCGAACTAAGCGCTCCGTTAGTTCGAATTAAGGGGTGTGTAGTGTAGCGCTAGTGTAGCGCCTATGAAAGTTAGTTCGAACTAACGTCTGTTAGTTCGAACTAACTTTCATAGGCGCTACACTAGCGCTACACTACACACCCCTTAATTCGAACTAGCTAGTTCGAACTAGGCTTAATCCTTGTGGAATGAGGATTACCTAGTTCGAACTAAGCGCTCCGTTAGTTCGAATTAAGGGGTGTGTAGTGTAGCGCTAGTGTAGCGCCTATGAAAGTTAGTTCGAACTAACGTCTGTTAGTTCGAACTAACTTTCATAGGCGCTACACTAGCGCTACACTACACACCCCTTAATTCGAACTAGCTAGTTCGAACTAGGCTTAATCCTTGTGGAATGAGGATTACCTAGTTCGAACTAAGCGCTCCGTTAGTTCGAATTAAGGGGTGTGTAGTGTAGCGCTAGTGTAGCGCCTATGAAAGTTAGTTCGAACTAACGTCTGTTAGTTCGAACTAACTTTCATAGGCGCTACACTAGCGCTACACTACACACCCCTTAATTCGAACTAGCTAGTTCGAACTAGGCTTAATCCTTGTGGAATGAGGATTACCTAGTTCGAACTAAGCGCTCCGTTAGTTCGAATTAAGGGGTGTGTAGTGTAGCGCTAGTGTAGCGCCTATGAAAGTTAGTTCGAACTAACGTCTGTTAGTTCGAACTAACTTTCATAGGCGCTACACTAGCGCTACACTACACACCCCTTAATTCGAACTAGCTAGTTCGAACTAGGCTTAATCCTTGTGGAATGAGGATTACCTAGTTCGAACTAAGCGCTCCGTTAGTTCGAATTAAGGGGTGTGTAGTGTAGCGCTAGTGTAGCGCCTATGAAAGTTAGTTCGAACTAACGTCTGTTAGTTCGAACTAACTTTCATAGGCGCTACACTAGCGCTACACTACACACCCCTTAATTCGAACTAGCTAGTTCGAACTAGGCTTAATCCTTGTGGAATGAGGATTACCTAGTTCGAACTAAGCGCTCCGTTAGTTCGAATTAAGGGGTGTGTAGTGTAGCGCTAGTGTAGCGCCTATGAAAGTTAGTTCGAACTAACGTCTGTTAGTTCGAACTAACTTTCATAGGCGCTACACTAGCGCTACACTACACACCCCTTAATTCGAACTAGCTAGTTCGAACTAGGCTTAATCCTTGTGGAATGAGGATTACCTAGTTCGAACTAAGCGCTCCGTTAGTTCGAATTAAGGGGTGTGTAGTGTAGCGCTAGTGTAGCGCCTATGAAAGTTAGTTCGAACTAACGTCTGTTAGTTCGAACTAACTTTGTAGTGTAGACATACCCCCTGACAGTTAGGATGTTTTTCCTAATGTCCAATCTAAACCTCCATTGCTGTAATTTAAGCTCACTGATTCTTGTCCTATCTTCAGAGGTTAAGACAGGGATGGGCAAAATCAGGCCCAGGGGCCAGATCCTGCCAACCCAGCTGATTAGCAGAGTGTGCATACTTACAACTGGCAGCGTGTGTTCATCCGTCCCTCCCCTACCTTACTCTGACCTGCAGTTATATTGCTCTCATGAGTCTCCTGCTAACTATGCAGAAGAGGGGCAGGGATGAGGAAATGCTGAAGTTAGGGTGTCCTCCTGCTCCCCATCTTTGCAGAGCAGGAATCCATAAGAGAGACACACAGTGGGTCTGCTCTAATCTGAAGCATGGATAGTGAGTGACTCAGAGGAGTGCCTGTCTTAAGAGTCCATGCATTGTTTTTAAGATTTCAGTGCTTGTGCTCTATCTCACACTCATACCCACCCCCATGCCCAATATCTGCAGAGAGGGATAGTGGGGAGACAACAGAGCAAGACAGTGTTCCTTGTCTTAAAGCGTCGTCAGAGCAGCCAGCACCCACTCTTTCTGTGTCACTGTCACACACACCTAGTCTGTGCCACACACACCATCACTGTCTCACACATACTTTCCCAGTCTCTGTGCCGTACATACTTAATCTGTGTCACAAAGTCTGTCTCTCAAACACAGTGTCTCTCTCTCTCTCTCTCTCTCTCACCTCCAGCCCCTCTCCTTAAGCCTGAGGCCCCGCCCTTTCTGGCGGAGCCTGGCTCCAGCCCATGACTACATACAAAAATTCATAAAATGCCCCCCTTGCAAAAATTATTCCCCACCCAAGATTAAGGAGAATAATGTTTCTCCTGACTCCTTGTAACAGTCTTTTAGGTACTCAAAGGTTGAATATAGGCATAATATTGTAATGTTGCCATACATGACTAATTATACAGAATTGTGTGTACTGTACAGCAGTCAAGTAATCATCATTTTATGGGTACATAAACACAACAGTAAAAACAAAACAAAACTATGTCACAGAGTCTCAAGAGCCTGAGTCAGTTGATTTAGACTTGGTGGTCTAATAACAATAGTGTAGAACTTGGGTCTCAGGCGGGAGCCCAGACACAGTACTCGTCCTGTTTTGGGGAGGATCTCAAAGCTCTGGGCTTCAGCCCAAGCCTTCATATTCACACTCCAATTTTTAGCCCTGAAAGTCCAGGTTATCTGATCTGTGCCAGTCATAGTTTTGAATAAATCTACACTGCTATCAAAGTGGGGAAATTAACTTGAATTAAATTTTTAGATTTTAGTAATTGAACCAGATATAAAAAACCTATTTTGAATCCTTAATGTAAAGCTTTGCAAAGTCTTCCATGAAAGATCTTAAAATACACTTGTAAACTCTTTTCACTGTACAACTGAAGTGGGAGGGAATGATAGATTCTTCTATTTTAATTTCTCTTTAACATTTAGGTTTACATGGCTTAATATATGATAATAAAACTGAATCTCTGAGGACAATTAACATACTTGAAAGAATGAATGTTTATCAGGAAGTGTTTCTCAGCATTCTGTACAGGATTCTCCCCATTCAGGTAGGTATTTAATTATGACTTTAGTTAAATAGCTATGTATGGATACTTTGTGAAAGCTTCCCAGTGAATGACAGCCCTCA